CTGGAACTCATTCTGTAGCCCAGGCTGTCCTCGAACTCACAGAGATCTGCCTGCCTCTGCCTCCCACGTGCTGGGATTAAAGTGCGCCATCACCCAGCTTCTCTTCTTTTTTTTAAAGACAAGATCTCACACTGTGCCCTGGGCTAGGCTGGAACTCACTATGCAGCCCAGGCTGGCCTTGAACTTCCCGTGATCTTCTTCCTCCAGTTTACATAGTGTTGGGATTACAGGTATGGCCACCATGCCCTGCTCTTTTAAAAGTCTGATTTGATTGCCAACACTTAAAGAACATGTAGACAGTACCCTCTTCCTCTGGAGCTCAGGGTTCGAGGGGACTTTCTACTCAATGGTGCTGCACCTTTGGGTGAAGCCCAGGTTGTCCAGTTGCCACAGTCCCCACCACTCCCTATTGTCTTTCCTCCTGAGCTCCTGGCTCTCACTCTTTACTGAGTCCTGTGGGCCAGTGTCCAGTAGTACACTATGCCCTCTTGACCTCTGGCTCATAGGCCCACAGGACTGGCACAGTGCTTAGCTCATAGGTAACTATGGCGTTTCCATGAGAGATAGAGAGATATAGATGATAGATAGATGACAGATGATAGATAGATGATAGATGATAGATGATAGATGATAGATGATAGATGATAGATGATAGATGATAGATGATAGATAGATAGATAGATAGATAGATAGATAGATAGATAGATAGATAGATAGATAGATCGAGGTATCCAGGATAAGAATCTGATGATTATTGATTGTTTAGGGCAGGATGGGACCCAGAATTTGGAAGCTGCTGGTGCCAGCACGTGAGGAAGAATTTTTTGTCTTTTGCACTGAAGAAGCAGATAGACAAGAAGAGTAAGGAAGTCAGGGGAGACTCAGGGAACCCCAAGCCTCCCATGCTGGAATGGAGGTCTCAGACCAATTGGGAAAAGCACCATGAAGATGTGCCCTTTCCTCTGGATCACTCTGCCCTACCCACTGCTCTGCCCAGTAAGCTCTCTGTGGAGCCTCGGTGGGGCTGCAACCCGTGTCAAGTTGACCTGGGTCAAGTGAGGCTCCTGGCAGAAGCCATGGGGGCTGGTCCCAGGACCTGGCTCAGGATGCCCAGAGATTATGGAATTGGGGTGACTGGGTGGGAAACTTTAGGGAGAGAGAAGCCTCAATACCAGGTTAAAACAATGTGGACCCGGGTTTCTAGAAGCCAGACTTAAGAAAATTACTATTTTGTACTCATACAAAAAGGTTATGCAGTGGGGTTTATTGTTGTCTTTTAAAATTACATTTAAAATTACAGCATGAGTGTGGAGGTGAGATTCTGTTCTCTCCTATGATATGGAGCCTGGGCATCGAACTCAGGTCTTCAGACTTGGCAGAAGCGTCTTTTGCCCACTCAGTGGTCTCAGCAGGCCCTCCTTTTGGCTTTTGATAGCATGGGCTGACTCAGGCTGGTGCTTCTGGGGACCGGGCTTAGGTCTGGACTTCCAGCCTGGTTTCATGTGCTAGGCTCAATTGAGGGGCACTGGGAATGTGCTCAGCAGGCCAAGCAGCAGAACCAGGCCCAGCCCAGTCACAGCTACCAGTGCCACATCCCACAAGATCCCTGAATAGGCCCAGGATGGTGGTAGCTTCCAGCCACAGCTGCCCAGCTCATAGCCTGTCAGCTGGCCCAGCGGACGCCTGGTGGCCAGGTCAGGGCTGGCACAGTACACATGTAGCAGGGCCTCAGGCATGTGGTCCTCCAGCCAGAGGCGCAGGTAGGTGAGGCTGCAGTCACAGTGCCAGGGGTTGTGTGTCACATCGAGGTTCCACAGCTGAGGCATGTGGTCGAAGGCACCCGGTGGCACTGAACGGAGGCTGTTGTTGGCCAGTAGGAGCTGGCGGGTGTGAGCTGGCAGGACAGGCAGGGCTGTGAGGCCCTGCCCCTCGCAGTTCACCTTTAACCCCATGGTTTCCAAGGCCTGGCAGGTACAGGGCCTTGGGCAGTCCTGGGTGGCTGTGGCCACAGGCCAGAGCAGAAACAGGAGCCCCCAGGTAGTCATCCAGCAGCAGGCAGGCTGTGGGCAGAGTAATGAGAGTGGGACCTGTCAGCCTGTTCCAGGACACTTATGCTGGACAAAAGTGTGTACTTTCTCTCCAGGCCTCCGGAGGGTGCCAGATCTCTATGCTCTGGGATAGGCTGAACCTCACTATGCAGTCCAGGAAGTATGGTAGAGAGGGACAAGGTCTTCCTGGTCTCTGGCAGATATCCCAGGCCCTGCTCAGATAAAGGAGCAGGTGACTGACTGCTAAGGGACTCCAGTCTTAGTGCCTGGCCACAGAGGCTAGGAAAGGTCCTTCCAGACTGTACCCAGTCCTTGGCCTGAACCTGGAGTCAGGCCATGGAATGCGTTCTACATCTTGGCCACTCCTTCATGATGCCTGATTCAAAAAACCTGCAGGGCTTTCAGAGAGACAGCACAGAGGGGAACTCACAGGGACCTGACTAGAAAGCCGTTCATCCAGGCTAATGGCCAGAGCTGGGAAATGAAGGCCCAGAGAGGGGAAGCACTTGCCCAGAGTCACCCACAAGTCTACGGCAGAGCACAGAGCACAGGGTCCGGAGAATGTCTCAGGACCATCTGAGGTAGCCTCGTTTGCTGCCTTCCCTCCCAGCTCAGGACCAGGGCCTTTGTTTCCCCTTCTCCAGCATTTGCTTTCCTACCAAGCCCCAACTCACAGCAGGTTTCAGGAGTGTTCACTGAATGACTCACGAGTCTTGATTCAGCCAAGTTGCCGGTTGACACCTTAGAGCAGATGTCCTCCCACATTCCATCTTTTAGTGCAGAGAGTCAAGGGAGAGACACAAGTGACCCCTCTCTTTCTGCCAGCTCCTCTGGAGTGGACACCAGGCAGGAGGTCCTGCTGGAAATAAGATGACTTACCTGTGAGGCCTTGGTTGGGACACACCTTCTGTGGGCTGGTGGCATCCTGGTTAAGGCGGTGGTGGTAGTGTGTGGGAGCCGTGGGAGCTGGCAGTGGTGGCTGCTGCCTGAGCGGAGGAAGGAAATGATGAAAATAGCCTGGCTTATCCCCGAAGTACAGCCCCGAGGGCCTATCTCAGAGGCAGGAGGCTCCCAGGGTCCCAGGGCCTTGGGCATGGAAATGCAGGCCGACTCCACTTTAAGGGTGGGGTGCCTCTGTACCGCAAGCAAGCTGAGGCCTTGTGTGGTGGGTCTGGAGGCCAGTGGAGGTGCCCCTGCCTGCTCCTAGGAGTTGGGGAGGGCTTCCTGGAAGAGAAGATGCTTAGATGAGCAATGGTTGGCTGTAAGTTTTTTACAAATGTGGGCAATGGTCCTGGTTCTGCATACCTCCCTGAGGTGTGGGATGGGAACACAAGGATGCCTGTTTATAGCCCTCCACCCTCTGAAGATGGTAAGGGAGTCTTTTTTTTTTTTTTTTTTTTTTTTTTTTTTTTTTTTTTTAAAAATTTTTTTTTTTTTTTTTTTAAACACCTTCTCTTTCCTTTTCTAATAGAGATGCAGGTTTGTAGCACCGAACCTCTCAGAGGCTGGGCCCAGCTGCAACCAAAGACCAACATACATCTCATATTTACTTTTTCCACTCCTGTTAGTAACTGTAATGTTTCCATTACAAGATAAATGAAGTTTCAGTTTAATTAATGCTCTTGGTATTACAAAAGATTAATCAAAATCAGGCCTAATGGTCAAACATAAACATCATGAAATTAAAACTCAAATGCGTGCATTTTTATAATAAATCATAAAAATTCCACAATTGTGAAATTGTGACCACTAACCAAGTCAGTTGATACTTAGCAGATGCCAGAGTTCATGTGCGCAGAAGATGGGGGGCGGGGTGCCAGTGAATCCTGGGCTGGAGTGACACTTGTTGAAACTGGGGCTCCTGGGACTGTGGGAGGAAGGATGGGCTGCTGGGGAAGGAAGAGATCCCTGACCAGCCCTGTGGTCATGGCTGGTGTTGGCCAAGATCAACAAACACGGTCTGGAGAGATTCATATGGGTTTAGGGATGGAGAGGCTGGGAGCAGCAGTACCACTCACTGGCTAAGGCATATTGGATCTTGTTCAGCGGGCAGGTGTCATGCCAGCTGGGACAGAGGCCCCCAATATGTCCTGCGACCGGTTCTTAAGTAGTTCTAATGTAGCAGAAGTCACGCTGGCCCAGAGTCGGGCCAGAAGGCTGCTACTCCTCCTCTTACCCTCCCGCATGCCTCTCCCCACCTCCACAGACTAGCTGCTGTCTTCCCTGGAAGACAGGCCCTTGGGCGATGACGGGGTCTCCCTCTAAGCCTGTGAGGGCCATGTGCTCTCTTCACAGCATCTGTCCACTTCTGTTTTCAGTATGGGGGCTCGATACACATGGACCGCCCACTGGCTGAGCTCTGGCTCTCCAGGGCCAGCTTCCTCAACCTCAGAGAGAGCAGGAAGGCATACTCTGGTCCCTGAGGTCATACCTGTCTGGAGCCTGTTTTCCTGTGTCTGTGAGGACTCTGGTCCTGATTGGGGGCTCAGCCTCTGTGAGCCTTTCTTCCCTTTGTGGTAGAGCCTTGGGCATCAGGAATCTTCACTGTCCCATCTTCAGGGCAGCTGATTTCTCCTCCAGGTAGGATCAGAGTCCCTGGGTGAGTGAGGATCCCATAGCCTCCTGGCTGTGTTCCTGGCTAGGCCGGTGTGGTCTGTGTCTCATCTATTCAGGTTTCTAAGATTTCCTTCTTTTTAGCAGGTTACAGCATCATCAGCAACTACAAAACTCTACACAATTTATTTTTCTTGTGGAGAAATTGTAATGTTCAAAAGAATAGGAAGAAGAAAATTAAAAATTTCTTCCACCCCCAACATGAATAAGAATGCCTTTGGGGCCTGGTGTCAGGGTATAACTCAACACAGAGTGCTTGTCCAACATGTGCAGGGGCCTGAGTTTGGGGTCCCAGAGTCATACGGGTACCCACATAGAAGTATTTTTTTCTTACCCAAATAGAATCATCCAGAGCTCACTCTGTCCTGAACCCTCCCCTTTCCACTGAGACTAAACCCACATCCAGGGCATCATGGAGGCTCCGCACCACTTTGTGGGTGTGGCTTCCTTAAAGAATCCTCTTATCTTGGTTGCACAGGTCTTTTGTGGTGCTGAGAGGATCAGAGGTTCCCCCCACCCCCATCAACCCGGGCAGCGGGGAGGGTTCTGGAACTGTGGCTGAGCACTGGTGAGATTACAAACAAGGACTGTTAACCACTATTAGGACTGTTCTTTCAGCTTTTATAAGACGCCATAGTAAATAGTCTTTCAATGCTTTTTGCATCCCCCCCCCCCCCCCCCCCCCTTCTCCTTTTTTTTTTTCGCCTCTTTTGAGACAGGGTTTCTCTGTGTAGTTCTGGCTGTCCTGGAACTTACTCTATAGACCAGACTGGCCTCGAACTCACAAAGATCCACCTGCCTCTGCCTCCTGAATGCTGGGATTAAAGGCGTGCTGCACTTATTCTTGAGAGCCTTGGGCTGAGGCCTGTCAAGCCAGTGGCTCAGCTCTTCCTTTGTGCCTGGCCAGGACCGCTCTCATAGCAGTCCTGCTAAGCGGAACCCTGAGTGAATGGATGCCTTGAGGAAGCTGCACCCAACACAGCCGCCTTCTGCTAAAATACAACTCCAGCTTTCACTAGTCCCTGTGAACTCTAGCACCATTTTTACCCAGATCAGAGGGAGAGCTGGCCCCAAACTCTCTAGGTAGTTGAGGAAGATCTCAAACTGCTGATCCTCCTGCCTCAACTTCCCAAGAGTTTGAGATTACAGGCATGTGCCACTGTGCCCTGCTTGAAGAGATATTCTTATTTTTGTTCTTAGCTCCCTCCTCTTCTTCCTCCTCAGGTTGCTTTGGCTATTCTGGCTCTTTTGTACATCTGAATATTTTTAAAGAAATGTTTTAAAATTTTATTTCGTGTTTTTGAGTGTTTTGCCTGCATCATATCTGTGCACCACGTGTGTGCCTGGTGCCTGCGGACGTCGCAAGAGACATTGCATCATTTGGAACTCAAGTTATGATGGTTGTGAACCCCATGTGGGTGCTGGGAACTGATCTCAACTCCTTTGCGAGAGCAACAAGTGCTCTTAACTGATGAGCTGTCCCTCCAGTGCCATTGTTGGAATTTTAATATATATTTTTTTCTATTGCTGTGGAGAAAGTCATTGGTAATTAGATGAGAATTGCATTGATTCTATAGGTCACTGTGGGCAGTATGGTCCTTTTAGCATCATTAATTCTTTTGATCTGTGAACATGGGTTATCTTTCCAGTTTTTGTATCCTCTGTTTTTCTTATTTTTATTTTTTCACTTATTCTGTGTCTTTGTGTGTGTGTGTGTGTGTGTGTGTGTGTGTGTGTGTGTGTGTACTCAGGCAAGCACGTAGCATGCCTGCGTGCTAGGAAAGGCAGAGAACTGCTAGCAGCAGTCAGTTTTCTGCTTCCATTATGTGGGCTCTCGAGTTAGAACACAGGTCACTGTGCTTGGTGGCAAGCCTTTGCCTGCCATCTTGTCAGCTCTTTATCCTTCAAATGACTTTTTGTTGAAAACTGCATTGAATGCCAAATTTCCAGCTTTACAATTAACAAACACAGTAATTGTCATACAAAAACAAAACATGCTTCGAATAGCCGTTGTTTTTCTATTTGTGACAGCTTTATGTTTGTTCTTTTGTCATGAAAAGAGGAATATAGTCTTCTACAATTTCTTCAAATTTATTTTTAGATTTACTTATCTTTTATGTATGTGAGTGTTTTGCCTGCATGTATGTCTCTGTACCGTATGCCTGCAGTGCCCACAGAGTTCAGAGGAGGGTGTCAGCTCCACAGAACTGGAGCGACAGGTGGTTGTGAGCCACCATCTGAGTTCTGGGAATCGAACCCTGGTCCTCTGGAAGAGCAGCCAGTGAGAGCTCTTAACTTCTTCCACCAGGATCTTTTTTTTTATTTTGAATATTCAGCAAGTTCATCATTAGCATATAGACTGCTATAGCAACATATAAAAATAAATGTAACTAAATGTATATAAACAAAATATATTTGGTGACTGATGGCTTTTTTTTGGCTTGAGAGTATGCTTTTTAAAAAACTTTTTATTTATTCTTTGTAGCTTTCCCATCATGCATCTTTTTTAAAAAAGATTTATTTATTTATTTACTATGTGTATAGTACTCTGCCTGCATGTATGCCTGCAGGCCAGAAGAGGGCACCAGATCTCATTATAGATGGTTGTAAGCCACCATGTGGTTGCTGGGAATTGAACTCAGGACCTCTGGAAGAACAGCCAGTGCTCTTAACCACGGAGCCATCTCTCCAGCTCCCATCATGCATCTTGATCCCATTCATCTCCCCATCCCTTCCTATTCACCCTCTGCCCTTGCAACCCCTTCCCCCAAATAACATAAAATTTAAGAGAAGAAGAAAAAAAAGAAAAAGAAAGAAAGGAAGGAAGGAAGACAGGAAGAAAGAAAGATGTTGTCATGGAGGACACACGGAGTCACACCGCAAACCCTTTTGTCCACTTATCTTTACTTTCAAGTGTTCGTTGCAAAGAGTCATTGGTCTGGTTTGAGGCCTCTGGTTTCTGCCACACTAGTGATGCTGGGCCCTCGCTGGGACCCCTCTAGGATGCCCTGTTGTTGCCCTGAGTTGTGGAGATACTGCAGCTTTGGGTAGAGGGATCAGCCCCTTCACCGGCTCCAGCAGATCATAGATTGGGGTGGATGTTGGTGTGGGCCAACTCATAGCCTGGTTCTGGGCTGGGGCGGCTGCAGGGTTGGTCAGCCCACCAGCTCTCCCCCATCCTCACCACCAGGGGGAGCTCTTCAGCACTGCCAGGCTAGTTCGCCCTACACAGCAAGGAGCAAGGGGCGGGGGCGGTTCTCCTGCTTTCATGTCCTCAGGGCCTGCTCACCCACCCTACACCTCCAGGGCCAGCTCGACTGTTGCCCAGGTGAGGTGCAGGGGGCACCATCCTGAGTGCTGCAGCTGGTGAGGGCCAGGGACAACTCTCCTGGTCTTATGACCTCAGGGCCAGCTCTCCCACCTGCCACAGGCAGTGAGTGGCAGAGGTGGGGTGTGTGGAAGAGCATCTCCCCCTCGCTCACACCACGGTGTAACAGGGGTGGGGTCAGATCTCTCAAGCTCACATTCTAGGGGTGGCTCACCTGCGCCACTGTGAACAGGGTCAGCTCCACTGTGCTGTCCAGGTGAGGTCCAGGGCCTTTCTCCTGAGTACTGCAGCTGGTGAGGGACTGGGTCTGCCCTTCTGCTTGCCACTGGTGGTGAGGAGCGAGAGGGGGCGGGCGTCTTTCCCTCACCACACCACCACATGGCAGACAAGGAGGGGCAGATCCAGCTCTCCCACTCTCATGCCCTCAGGGCCAGGACCCCA